TCTCAGCAGTCGGTAGAACCCCAGAAAGAGAAGGCACCGGAGGGGGATCATTCGGAGCCTCAGTACTGGACAGAACCCTAGAAGGATAAGGCATCAGAGGTTGATCATTTGGAGCTTCATTACGCGGTACAGCCCCAGAAGACGAAGGCAATAAATGCCTTTGGAACAAACCCACAATTCTCTGATGATCAAGTAAAACCTGACCATCAGATTCCTTCATTTGGTCAAGCTTCCTCTTCATGTTTGTAGCATAGTCATGTGCGAGCCGGTGCAACTGTTTATTCTCATGCTTGAGCCCTCTAATCTCCTGTTTGAGACTCATAACTTCAGCCGCCAATGATTCAACTTGGCGGGTTCGAGCAAATAGGCGTTGAACCATATTAGACACAGAACCTGCACACTGAACACTAAGAGCCAGAGAATCCTTAACAGCCAACTCATCAGACCGTTTGGAAAGTAATCTGTTATCTTTGGGAGTGAGAAGGTTCCTGGCCACTACCGTAGCGGTCATATCATTCTTCATCACGGAATCCCCAACGGTAAGAGGACCAGTAGGGGAGACGAAGGATGGGCGCCATATGTTGTCTGGAGAAGGCGGGGCTGCCTCTTCAACAAGGTTCAAGTCAAAACGACGGTCGGAGGGGCCAGACATTTTCAAAGGTGTTGAAGAGAGAAGAGGTCAGACAAATCAAGATCTTAGAAGTGCAAGAATGGAGCTTCTACTGGTGGATATTCAAGTGTGCTTTGGAACTTCATGTCAGCCCCTATAAAAATCTGCACTTGACGAAGCTTCAGAAATCGAAGAGGCGCCTGCTCAGAAATCGAAGAGGCGTTTGCTTTCTCAAAAGCTGGGCTTCTCAGAGACCACGAGGGTCGATCTCAGAAATCGAAGAGTCGTTTGCTTTCTCAAAAGCTGGGCTGCTTAAAGACCACGAAGGCCGATCTCAGAAATCGAAGAGGCTTGCTTTCTCAAAAGCTGGGCTGCTCAGAGACCACGAGGGCCGATCTCAGAAATCGAAGAGGCACCTACTTTTCCAGCCTTGTCAGCACCTGTCACACGCACACTCAGCTTTGCGGAAATTATGGGCATTCTGTCAAAGATTTCTGGCGAAGTAGAAAGCACATGAATCGTACTGTTCAATCACCCACTTCCCACACGCAACAGTAGCTCATGGGTACCACAAATAACTTTGCCAAAGTTCTCTGACAAAGTTGAGACACGTGAAGCTTGCAGCTCCCACTACATCGCTCTGACCAAGAAGGGTAAAAGAATAGCAAAGAAACAACACTAACAAAGTTTAGACACATAAATTTTAAAGGTCTAGCTATCATATTATTACCCACAAGGGTAAAGGAACAGTACCACTGCTGGATAATTGGAAAGTCCCGGTGTGTCAACCTCTGTGCTTCGTGGCAAGGTAGACTAGCAAAAATGCCCAACCTTTACTCACATTCGAGAAAACACTCCCAACAAGATTGCTTGCTCCAAAATCGAAGAGGCACCGCCCTCCGAATCTCGAGAGCCAGACTCCCAACATGATTACTTTCTCAAAAATCGAAGAGAGGGTAAAGGAACAGTACCACTGCTGGATAATTGGAAAGTCCCTGTGTGTCAACCTCTGTGCTTCGTGGCAAGGTAGACTAGCAAACATGCCCAACCTTTACTCACATTCAACAAAACACTCCCAACAAGATTGCTTGCTCCAAAATCGAAGAGGCACCGCCCTCCGAATCTCGAGAGCCAGACTCCCAACATGATTACTTTCTCAAAAATCGAAGAGACACCGCTCTCCGAATCTCGAGAGCTAGACCCCCAGTAGGATTGCTTTCTCAAAAATCGAAGAGGCATCGTTCTCCGAATCTTGAGAGCCAGATCCCCGACAGGATTGCTTGTTCGAAAACCGAAGAGGCACCACTTTCCTAACTTCAAGAGCTAGATCTCCTTGGATAAAGCTTGTCTGTAATCTTCACACGCAACATCAGCTTTCCAGATACCACAGACCCCTTTTTCAAGCAGGGTAAAGGAATAGCATTATTACTTGATGTTAGGGAGACTCCTATATATGTCGACCTCCATCCCCAACGGACAGGCAGACCTGCAAAAATGCTCAACCCTTCCTCTTATCTGAGAAGGCACTCCCAACGAAGCCTTTCGAAATATTCAGCTTTCTTTCCCCCCGATAATACCTCTGTAAACAAGCTATACTAGAGCAAGAATATCTCATATCATCAAGGTTAAAAGCAAAAGTATCCCATATCATGCTTTTTCCCTGTCTTTTCCTTTGGCCTTGTTCTTACCTGCAAGACAAGGAGAAAGAGAGCAATCAATCAGCACTTGGAATCAAGCTTCCAGCCAGGAACTGACTGCCTGGAACCCCTTACCTGATTACTTACCTGGCATTGCTCTCGAGTACTCATCTTCAACATCTTATGCTTCCAGGGAAGATACCGCATCTGCCAGAGGAACAGATAGGGCAAGTGAGAAGGATACAAGGAAGCATGTGGAGACAAGCGTAACAGCACACGTGCCGATACATCCATTACTCTGTCAAAAGAAAAAGTATCCCATATCAGCAGGGTCGAACGTACACTAGATTTGATGGACTTGTTTTGACCCTCAAATTCTTTAGTCGGCCTTATACTCTGGAGGAAACCAGAAAACCCTCCAGCCCAGTTCAAGAATAAGCCTGTGGAAAGTTACTTCTTCAAAAGCAAAAGTATCCCATATCATCTCTTCTCATTTTTCTTCTCTTTATCCTTCATGCTGCCTGCAAGATAGGGAGAATGTGAACAATCAGCCGGAGGTCTGATTGCTTACCTTGTCTGTCACCTCTTTCAGCAGATCCCCTAACTCGGCGACTTGGGGGACTCCTGCTACATGGTTTGTATCGCGCTTGACCAAGCCTGAAACTACAAGTAAGCTTCAAGTGAAATTGATACATTACCTTGTGCATCTCCACCAGTTACAGATACCACCCCTGGATGGAGGAAGAGTACTTCCAGAGAAGATGCCACATCTACCTATGAGATAGATAAGGCAAGTCCAGACGATACCACACTCCGGTACTTAAAAGTTTCGTGGTTACGAGATCATTCTCCCACAATATTTCCTAATGTCATTTGTACTAAATCATTCACTTGTACTCACTAAAGGAGAGCTTGAACCTATGTACTTGTGTAAACCCTTCACAATTAATGAGAACTCCTCTATTCTGTGGACGTAGCCAATCTGGGTGAACCACGTACATCTTGTATTTGCTCTCCTATCTCTATCCATTTATATACTTATGCACACTAATGACCGGAGCAATCTAGCGAAGACCACAAAAAGTGACCGTTTTCGCTACCTAGGATCTATCTTGCAAGAGAACGGATAATTAGATGGAGATCTCAACCATAGAATACAAGCTGGATGGATGAAGTGTAAGAGTGCATCCGGCGTGTTGTGTGACCGTCGTAGGCCACTGAAGCTCAAGGGAAAATTTTATAGGACGGCAATAAGGCCAGCGATGTTGTATGGCACAGAATGTTGGGCGGTGAAGCATCAACACGTACACAAAATGGGTGTAGAGGAGATGAGGATGCTTCGTGGGATGTATGGGCACACGAGAAATGATAAGATTGGGAATGAGGATATCCGAGGTAAAGTAGGAGTAGCCAAAATTGAAGGAAATATGAGAGAAAATCGGTTCCGGTGGTTTGGACATGTGCAAAGAAGGCCTACTGACGCTCCGGTTCAAAAATGTGACTACGGGACAGAGGTTCAGGGCCGAAGGGGTAGAGGAAGACCTAGGAAAACTTTGGAAGAGACCCTAAGAAAAGACTTGAGTACTTGGATCTAACGGAGGACATGACACAAAACCAAGCGCAATGGCGTTCTAGGATTCATATAGCCGACCCCACTTAGTGGGAAAAGGCTTTGTTGTTGTTGTTGTTGTTGTTATATATATGTCACCCAATGACTAGTTAAAGCCAACCAATGTATGTTGTTTGCCCTAATGCAGTTACATCGAATTCTTTATCAATCAGGGTACCTCTCAGAGTGGGAATTTATCAAATATAACAAAAAATTAACCCTTAATTTAAAAATGTCAGTTTTTATAAAAACTTTCATATTTATTCAAAATCTCACTTAAATAGACATAACTACCCTTAATTTATATAAATAACTAATTGTTAGACTTAATACTTCTTATGCTATAATCTCTAACTAAAACTTTCTCCTTTTCTTTTCTTTTCTTTTCCAAACGAAGAGCAAAAATTTTCTCTCAATTTTACTTTAATAGATAATCAAGGAAACCTTTCTTTCTCACATGGTTCACAGAAAACACTTTAGTATGTTCTAAAAGTGAACTATTAGAGTAAAAAAATAAAAGTAATTATTTTTAATCATCGGAAATTTAAAGAATTGTACGTACAACCAAAATAAACAATAAAATGATCAAAAGAAAATATTTATTCATAAAACTCCAATTTAAAAGGGTTCTACAAAGTAGGATGAAGTTGAACAGGATTCCTACAAGTTTGTTTATAATGGCCATTTGAACCACATTTTGAACACTTTCGAGTTGATTTTTCTTCTCCACGTGATGGGATCCTCTTTTCTTTGCGCCCACCATATCTTCTTCGTGTAATTGGTGGTAGGACAATTCTTTCACTCACATCATCAGTTACTATCCAATCGGTTTGATCACCAACTGGCCATATAGCTTCTGCATAGGCAATGACCAAGGAGTTTAGTATAATAATGAGAACACATAGGATAACATGAAAGTTGTCGGTGTCTACATGCAGCACAAGCATGTGAGCAAGGGAGTTGGTCAAGATCAAATTGTCGGCATGTGCAACTCTATTCCTCTAAATTCACAACTTCAATACGAGATCCATCATATACATGAAATAAGTAAGTCACAATGGGCGATACCTACATGTTCACATACATATATATTACTCAAACAAAAGAAGAACTAAACAACCAAAAAAAATATTCCGCATAAGAACTACAAAAGCAATTCGCAATTAGTGATCTGTAAGAGAAGTCGATGAATACCCTGAACTGCTGCATAAAACTACAAAGGCAATTATATAAATCCATAGCAGCAATTACGTTGAAGTTCACAAGATATGGTTTTTAACTTTTTTCTTGTCAAAGCCTAGGTTTTTTTTTTACTTTAGCCTTTAACATTGCAAACATACATTTATTCTTTACTAAACATGGCAGTGATGGATAAAGCTACAGATGGGATATAAGAATCGGTAAAAATAGTTTAAAAACTTGAGAACAAATGAAAGTGTACCAAAATTAAATAGACAAATTGAACTAAAATCTATTTAAGTGAATTCAAAATACCTGTAATGATAATCCTTGCTTGTTATTTTCTCGCACTAAATTGTCTGCCCAATATGTCAAATGTGTATTCATTTTAGCTGCCTCAGTTCGACGCTCATAAAACCACTTCTGCAGAATATTCATTCTTAAATACTCAAGAAATCGTGTGATAGGTAGTTTTCGAGCATCTCTGGTGATTGCATTAAGACATTCAACAATATTTGTTGTCATGATGTTGTACCGTTTTCCATCGAAGTACGCACGAGTCCACTTTTCATATCCAGCCGAATGAAGATAATCACCCACCTCAGAGTCGACTTTATATATTTCTATCATAAGACGATGAAATTCAGGAATTCGATATGCCTTAGTAGCTGTAAAATACAGTTTGTGTGCTCTCTCATGCTTAAAATGATGCCTAATGTTTTGACTTATATGAAATATGCATGCACCATGATGGGCATTGGGGAAAACAGTTGATAGAGCCTTCCGAATGCTTTCATGTCTATCAGAAACAAACACCAATTCATCAATTTCCCCAATTGCTTCTCGTAATTTTGTCAAAAACCAATTCCATGATGCGTCATTCTTTGAATCTCCAACTCTGAATGCTAGAGGGTATATTTGTTTGTTGCCATCCATGCATGTGGCAACAAACAAAGTGCCAAGATATTTACCCTTTAAAAATGTCCCATCAACCGCTACTACCAGCCTAATAACACTTCTAAATCCTCTTATGCAAGGTCCAAGTGACATGAAACGGTACAAAAAATGATTATTCTCATCTGTTTCAATATGTGTTATCGTACCTGGATTTTTGGCTTCTAACACAGCAAAATAAGATGGAAGTAACGAGTAAGATTCCTCTGGTGATCCCCTAACCAACTCCAATGCATGTTCCTTAGCTTTCCAAGCCTTCACATAACTTATACTCACACCCATGTCCTTCCTCATATCTTCTATGATGTCACGTGGTCTATGTAGTCGTGATACACCCTCGTACTTAGACTTTATGCATTGACCAATAAGAGAACTACTTGCCTGTCGATGATGGCGATTAATAACGTCTAATGAGCATGAGTGCATAGTAATGTATTTTCTGAGTAATTATCATTAATAGCCAAAATTTAACACCAAATTTCATAAATGTTACTTTTTATAAAAACTTTCAAATATAACAGAAAACTCACATGAATAGACCTAAATACCTTCAAAATCGACATCCATATATATAGAAGAAATTCAAGAAAGTTGGGATGCATGATTGCAGTCATAGTGTATTCCTGACATTCCTGATGCCTGGAATGAATTGTTGTTTCTCCATTTGCTCCATTAGTATATTTGCATCTTGAACAAGCGCACCAATTCTAGTTTGTTTGTGCCATACTCAGTGCACAAATGAGTTAAAACATATGGTAATCAATTTTTTTCTGCATAATGATAACAAGATATACAGGCTGATTAATACCCAATTTTTTCCCAAAATTAAGGCTCGATGTTGCTGTTCTCTCATAGTTGAAGCAAGATTGGGATCCTGCAGTTCTGAAAGCTCCACCTATAACATATATGGAGCAGAAGTAAAGATAAGCATGAATAAATTATCCAAATTTTTTACAAGAAAATTTTGAAACAATGAATATTTATGTTCTGTAAATTAATCTACCTCACTAGCTAGAAGCAGACTAGGGCAATCATCTGCATTAGGTACGTAGAAAAACACCGTACAGCTGCCTAAAGTTATCTTCCTTATCAAATGCGTATATAAGAAGGATTGCTAACCTCAGATCCCAATTTGTCTGCCATTGACTATTTTTCCTCATTGAAAAACTATGTAGTTAGAAGAGGCCACAATTCAGATTTTTTTTCATTACATTACCAACTACATCCTTATTTTATTTGGTTTTAATTTTGAGGGTATTTAAGTCTATTTAAGTGGGTTTTATGTTATTTTTGAAAGATTTTAGAAAAAGTGACATTTATGAAATTAGGTGTTAAATTTTGGCTATTATCGATAACTTCTCGTATTTTCTGACCTTGAAATATGATGATTGTTGTAATTTAGAAGCGGATAGTTTCCATTTGCATCCATCGCTGACACAACCAACTTCAAACCTTTCTTTGCTTGATCTCTTCACTATGAACTCGTAATTGTTCTTCATAGCATGAATACCTAACTTTTTTTTTAAATCCTCCTTAGTCTCGTACAATTGGCCTACAACTATATCTCCATCTGAATTGTACAGGTCTGCCTTGTCTGATTCATGTACAATATTTGTACCCTTGTGAACATTTGATCGGTTAGAGCTGGGTTCATCAAATTGCACATTAGCAGGCACAACATCACATACCATCCCTTTAGGAGGCAACTCATTGAATTCAACACTATCTTGGAACACATTATCAGACTCCATATTTGGCAAATTTTCAAATTCTTCATGATACGATGCATTCTCAACTTCTTGATTTACCAAGTCGTTATATGAATCATGTAGCACAATATCTTCCAAATCACCTTGAGTAACAAAGTTAAGACCTGTTTGTAATGGGTCATCATTATCTTCTGAAGAAAATACTTTCTGCTTTAATGTAACACACAAGGGAATCTTCCAAGACCTCAAAAGGTTTTCAAAAATAAATGCCCTCACATCATCATCATCAACTATATCTGCAGGCCATGTAGTTTCCATTGCGTTATATATAACTTTCATACTTATCTCATACTCATTTGGGTCCACATTCACAATACCATGTTCTTTCTTTTGAAGCTCTGCAAATGTAATTTTGTCTGAAACAAGTAATCCTTTCATTTTGCAATTTTTGTACGTTGAGTCAGCCCACCTCCCACCATAGGTCACTAAAATTGTCAAACTAGACATTGTCCTAAAAAATAAACAAAAACAATAAGAAAAAAAATAAATGACATACAGACATACCTAAGATTGATATATATGTGCAAATAAAGAGGGTGTTGTGAAAACTGGACTGAATCATGAGAAAGGCTGGGCGTTAATATATACACAAAGCATCATGCATTTGAGCAATGGAAGAAGGACCTTGTCGATTAAGGTGCTACTCTGGAAGTTAACTTCCACTTTTACGCATTGAAAATAATTAAATTAATATTGCTTACCAAACCAACATAAGATGAATAAAAACATAGAAAGAAAAACTTTATTCCGTGAACCCTAATTGGAAAAACTTATTCCGTAAACCCTAATTTTTCAAATATGCATTGAAGAACTATTAGCTTTGCCTCTAACTGATTGGCAAAAACAATTAGATTTGCAATCTTCCATTGACACAAGAAACCTAATTTTTCTAATTTTACAAAAATTGACAGTTCGTTCTTCAATAAAATTCAACCGAACGAAGAAACTACAAAACCAAAGAGAAAACATAGACTAGGAAGAATGAAAAACTTAACCATCTACACTCACCTTTGTACGTTTAGGGTTGCACAAAGTCTCCACAGTAGCCGATGCCTTCACTATACCTCCACCATTTTTTAGGTTTTGCCGTCCAAAATATCAATCTAATAGGGTTTTGGTTTTTCTAATTTATTTGGTTTTAAAGTTTAAGGGCATTTATGTCTATTTAAGTGATATTTTGAATATACTTGAAAGTGTTTATAAAAATGACATTTTTGAAATTTGGGACTAATATTTGGCTATATTTGATAAATACTCTCTCAGAGTCTCAAGTCTCGACTCAAATCCTCTCACTACTCTTGAATCCTGATTTGAGTCACTCATTCTTCCTCAATCACAAACCTAAAATGCCGCCCGCCCCTCAGTCCTCTCACTTTGAGTCGATTAATCTTTGTCCTCTGTGACTCTGTCAGCCGCCCGTGGACCGTGACTTTGGCTCGTCCAAAGCATCTCCTCCACTCCGTGCGTCTCAATCTCTCATAGTGAGAGTCTCACTCTGTGCTATTTTCCTCATTGCCTATCTCTCACTCTTTGTTGATTTTCTTATTGGCAGGAGTTTATTAAAATTGATCTAGATTTTAAAATTGATACGCGTTATCAAATTGATCTGGGTTTCAAATTGATCAGGAGGAAGAAGTAGGAAAGATGCATAGGCATCCATATCCACAATAGAGATCCACCAAACTAGGGATAACAACGATTCAGTTTGGAGACGGAAATGTTATATCTGTCCACAGAGCCACAAAAACTAACCAAATTCATAACCCCAAATTAACCATCGGGGATTATCCATAACCATACCTACTGGGTAACAAATTAGAGCATTGAATTTAAAATGTTGATGATATTGGCTAATATTTGATCTCTCCCATAAGCACCATTGAAATCTCATTAGCTTTGATTCAAAACTTTTGAACTTTCGCAAGTGGTCCTCTACTACAATGGTGGACAGGAGTAGGGATGGCAATTTAACCCGTCAAATCCGATCCCTGCAAGTAACTGATCTGAATGGTTCGGTTTCGGGCATAAAATTTTGGGTATTTTACGGTTATGAGTAACCGTCGGGTAAATTTTTCGGTTTCAGGTTCGGTTGTGGTTATTGAGGTATTTGCCCCAAACTCATACCCGAAACCGAACCATTTCATCTATGAATAAAAAAATATAAATATTTATTATATGAAAAGGGGTTGTTAATAATCATGCATGATTAAATATGAAATTAATTATTTACGTTTATATCATTAATAATAGGAATTATATGCTTATAATTTTCAAGAGTGTAAATGTTTTCTTAGTAATATAAATTTTTAATATTAATTTTTAGACGCATTGTATCAATTGTATTAATAATATCATTTTTTTTTAATATTCCTCATTTAGTTAATAATACAAATAAATATATAAATATCATAATGGGGGAAACCGTTCCTCGATAAAAAATATGTCACGCGACGAGTTCGGTTATGGGAAAAATCCATTCAGGGATTCTACGGGTTCGGGTATGGGGATTGCACATCCGAACCCAATCTGCCTCGTTGCTATCCCTAGATAAGGGTGTTGGCCTTGCACCACGATATGGGTTCGAATCCCATCGGTTCCCTAATCTATCATCTAATCTAACAAATCTATCGTTAGAACAAAAAAAAAGCTTTTGAACTTTCCCAATCATGTCTCACGGCCTAATTGTTCTAGAAGTGTCACAAGTCGAGCTTAAATCCATGCTACAAAATGGAGAGTAGGAAAATTTACGATCATACCATGCCAATAAAATAATAGCTTATTGGGCTCCGAGCCCATGAAAATCATGCATATTTAGCATGCCAACCCGTATTATAATACTAATACATTAATTTGAGTGATGCCAAGCATGCAACACACTTAAATGAACCCAAGCTCAAGTAGGAAAAAAAGGAGACAACAAGGAGGAACGTTACTATAGATAGAGTCGTGATGTGGAAATTGATCTAAGAAATGTGTTGTGGGATTTTTCTAGGAAAGATGATGTGGGACTTGATCTAGGAAAGAAAAAACTTTGGGTAGTGCACTCAAACATGCTTTATAGGGCCCTTAACCTCCATAACATTATATCAAAAAGGAACCTATAGATGCATCCATAGAAAGATGAAAGGAAGACTTAGCTAATTTGAAAAAGGAGAAGAAACCAAGATATTCCCTAGCTGAATCATGTAACGATCCCTGCTTTCATAAATATAAGGCATCGATACGCTGTAGAGGGGACACCACGCGTGGGGAGGAATAACGACTAGGGCAAGAATATGCCCCATAGAGAAAGCTTTGTCTAAGTACAGGAAACCCTAGTTCTTTAAAGATAAGCCTTGATTTCATCTTGAGCCTTCCAATAAGCCTCCCTAACTCTTGCAAAACCATCAAACCATTAGCAACCATAGATTAGCTACTTCGAAACTATATAACCAAGAACAACATCTCTTTCATGCCAAACTAGTGGGCTTTTAGCTTCCCACCATGCATCATTCATGCAAGTCATAATTTTTTGTGATTACTCAG